GTGGAGTCCGGCAGCCCATTGTGGGGCCCCGAGCCTCCCCTCCGCCCCCAAGACACCGCGCAGGAGCCGCCGACGCTGAACTAGCGCCTCGGGCGGCTGCAGGAAGGACCCCGCCTTGCTCGGACCCCTTCGGGCCCCGTGTTGTTTCCAGGGTGATTCTGGCTTGACGGTTCCGAGAGCTCAAGGTGGGCCAAGCGCCGCCCTAGGCTGGGCTTCTAGCTAAGAGCCCAGAGGGAATGGAATCCCCCCCTAGATGCTCAGGTCACTCTCTCTTCCTGCTTAGCACCTTTCCCCTTAACGCTGCCTTCAGCTTGGCTATGAGAACTTACAAATAAGGTTCGGATCAGGAAAGCTGGTGATGTTTTAAGGACTATTTAAGGGCTATAGGTGGTGCTTTGCTTTGCCAGTGGGGGTTACCAACAGCAGGCAATTCCCCAGAAGTGTCAAAAATATTTTCCAAAGCTTCAGAGGGGTAGCAGAGTTAGTCTGTAACAGGAAAAACTTAAACAACAAATAGTTTAGTAGCACCTGAAAGACTAACAAAACACGATTTGCATTTCCATGAGGCTGCTACCACTCCATCCACCATGGTGTTATTTCATTCAGAGAATGAAAGGTGAAATTCACCTGTTAGCCACAGACATATCTTCCCTTCTGTTTCTTATAGATCTAAGCATCAGGATAAAATCACCTTTGGCCTGCCTCAGAAATAGGAAGTCAATTTGACAGTGCAGTTTAGAGATCTACAAAGGATTCAAGCAATAATTAAACTGGACCTTGGGTTATTATTAGTAATATTCTTGTTTTAATGTTTCTCACACTAGTTGTTGCTAACAAAATGGGTTCCAGAAGAATTATACAACATAAACTTGTTATTCCTGTTTGAATTCTGCAGTTGTTGCATTTGGGGACATAATACTGTTGCAGGATTCCAACAGGAGTAACTTGTACTGAATAACATATTAACTGGAACCAAACAGCAACAATAAATGAAGCAAAGTTAAGTATGAGGTTAAATTATTTACAGGATACAACACACAAAGAAATATTCATCAATCAAGTTGCACTTTCTTGTTATATCTTCAAATGGATGATACTCCGTCATGTACATCGAGGTGGGCAAAAATGTTTGATGTGGGGTCACTCCAACAATTTAAGTGGTCAAGGGCCGAACTCTTCCATTATATTAATGGAGGTGTGGGATCTGGGATGGAGGTTGGGTGCAGAAGGGAGCTTGGGGTAAAGACTGGGAGGCAGGAAGGAGTGTACCGTCTGAGAGGGAGTTTGGATGAAGGAGGGGATTGTGACTGAGGCAAGGGATTGGGGTGCAGGAGAGGGTACTGGGCCTAAGAGGGGATATGGGTGCAGGAGAGAATTCTAAACTGGAGGAGGGTAGGAGGTGGTTCAGGGGCTGAAACCTGATACAAGGGTGTAGGAGGGGATATAGAGTTTGGGTGACACAAGTCAGGAAGGGGTTGTGACCTGGGGCAGGTGATTGGAGTGGAGGGTCAAGGAGCAGTATAGGTGTAGGAGAGGATTCTGACCTGGCGAAGGGGTATATAGGAGGGAATGGATGGTCTGGGAGGGAGTTGTGACCTGGGACAGGGGTGCAGAGGGTTTGGTTTGTGACCTGGGGCAAGTAGGTGGGGTGCAGGAGAGGATGGGTTGTCGAGTGCAGACTCTGGCCAAGAGGCACTTACTTTAGGCAGCTCTTGGCCAGCATCTCAATGGGACCCTCAGGCAGGCTCCCTGCCTCCTGCACGCCACTCAAGGCAGCCAGCTGCAGGGGCCATATATTCTCTGTGTGCCGTGCACCCCTTGGAGAGGGGGCCCCCTCACACTGCCTGTGCCTCAAGCACAGCCCTAGCAGCTCCCATTGATCGGCCAACAAGATTGTGCTGGGGCTGGGACACAAAAAATGACTTTCTTCTGAGAGAAGAGTTTTGAGACAAAAAAGTGACTTTCCTGTTCACTGGTCTTTTTGCCTAATACAATAATAATAGTAAACTGCTCAAGATTCGGGATACAAGAGTATCCCAAAATAGCTATCCCATGTCTTCACAGCAAGCCCATTATTTCAAGTTCACTCTTCTGATGTCCCTGTAAACCTCACTCTACAATGAGTAAGGAACATTTCGGAATAGCACTTTATTTTGAAATTTGGCACTGTATAGACAGCACCAAATGATGAAATAAACTATTTTGAAATAGCACTGAAATAAGACACACAATTTACATAGCTCAAATTGCATATCTTATTTCCAGTTACGGTGCAGTGTAGATACACCCTAAGTGATTGGGCTGCAAAATGGCAAATGAAATTTAATGTTGATAAATGTAAAGTAATGCACATTAGAAAAAATAATCCCAACTATACATACAAAATTGAGTACTAATTTAGCTATGGATCCCATATGAAGAGAAATTAAAAAGGCTAGGACTTTCCAGCTTAGGAAAGAGGAGACTAAAGTGTGTGGGGGTGGAGGGGAGGAATATGATGGAGGTCTATAAAATGACGACTGGTGTGGAAAAAATGAATAAGGAAAAGTTATTTACTTGTTCCCATAACATAAGAATTAAGTGTCACCAAATGAAATTAATAGGTAGCAGATTTAAAACAAACAAAAGGAAGTTTTTCTTCACACAGTATGAAACTCCTTGCCAGAGGATGTTGTGAAGACCAGGACTTTAACAGGTTTCAAAAAAGAACTAGATAAATTCATGGAGGTTAGGTCCATCAAATACTTATTATCCGGAATGGTTAGGAATGGTGTCTCTAGCCTCTGTCAGCGGCTGGAAATGGATGACAGGGGAGGAATCACGTGATTACCTTTTCTGTTCTCTCCCTCCAGGAAATCTAGTATTGGCCACTGTTAGTAGACAGGATATTGACCTAGATGGACCTTTGATCTTACCCAGTATGGCTGTTCTTATAAGATGGGCAATGCTAGTGTGCTTGGGAGAGCCATCAGTGCCAAACAGGGGTGACTGGCACCGAGGAGCCTATATGTTGTAAGAATTGTTGCAGTTTCGGCACTGTTGATGTTGATGGCACTGATTTAGATGATACTAGTGTCTATATAGATGACTTGTGTCATCTTGCTCAGAGTGGTCCGTGCCATCATGGTTTTATTAATTGGTGCCAATGTAGCTGCTGGAGACTGTTGTGAGTACATGGCCAATGGTGAGTGCTTCAGCACTGTCTCTCTCACCAGAGTTGTCAGTGATATAGAGGAGGAGACTTGCCTGGACATGTGCTTGGACTCCTTTTCCTTTTGGTGGAGCACAGCAAAGGTTCTCATGTGGATGGTGCCAGAGGTACATCAAGGGGGTGCTCACCCATATGGAGGACAGTAACCTGGTAGGAGACCACTTATGTGGTTCTCTTTGTAGTGGAAGTAATGGCTCTTTTCCTTGCATTTTGGAGGATCGGATGCTCTCTTTGGATAACATGGATCTGCCCAAGGAGTCACCTGAAGGGCAGGTTTCCTGTCCTGCGTTGGAGTCCGGCTCAAATGATTACTTTTTCTCCCCTCAGGGTCAGCTTTAGGCATAGGAATTTGTCATGCTTGGCTAGGTTGCTACAGTGAGCATACTTCTGAGGGATGTGCGATTCATTGTGACAATGGACAGAGAGAGAGTGACTGTCAAAGATGGATATAGTCTCATGGAAAGAAACACATTTCTTAAATGCTGGGGAATCAGGCAGTTTGTACTAGGTTTCTTGCTAGGGATGTGAAGTAGTTGACTACCCGATAAGCAGGAGCTTATCCTGTAGCATTATCAACTACTTGATCATCCTCACACACAGTCTTAAAGGGACAGAGAGGAGCCAGTGCACAAAGATAGGTTCATTCTCTGGTCCCCCGTGGGCTTTCAGACAACCCTCATGCTGCCACTCTGCATTTTTAAGTGGCCGCCCTTCTGCTTCTCTATTTCAGCACAAGAGCCCTCCTGCCCCGCTGCCACACTGCATTTTTAAAGGGATATAGCAGCAGCAGCAGCAGCCATTGGTCCCACTTCTCTGTCTCTGCACAAGAGCCCCCTCCACCCCCACCACTCTACATCTTTAGAAATGCAGAGTGGCAGCGGGAGGAGAGGGGGAGTGGAGAGGGCTCTTGTGCTGAAATAGAGAAGTGCACCAGCAGCTGCCACTTAAAAATGCAGAGTGGCAGTGTGAGGGTTGTCTGAAAGCCAGCAGGGGACCAGAGAATGAATGGGCATCTTTGCACACTGGCTCCTCTCTGTCCGTTTAAGAGTGCACAGCGGCAGCCAGGAGTTGTGCCCTGAGCTGGAAGTGGTGCTTTAAGCGCCCTTCCTTATCGACCATCGACTATTCGACTACTAAATTAATCGATACTTAACATCCCTATTTCCTGCCTTAGGAAAGCTAACAGGAAAAGCGGTGGGTTTTGCCCATGAGCTTTGCTACAGGACTACCTTCTTTTTTGTATAGTTACAGATAAACATGGCTACCCCCTCTGAGATAGAAAAAGGTTGTTTTCTTTAAGGCCTAAGAACTAACAAGGTACTCTATGACCAACTCTACTAACAACTAATTTAATTTGTTATGGTTTAGAGCAGGGGTCCCCAACGTGGTGCCCACCGGGGCATTTATGTGCACCCGCCTAGCGCTGCCCCGCACATGCGCGGCCCTGCCCCCAGGAACCCAGCGCATGCACGGCCACTGCACCACCCCCGAGCGCGAGGCGCATGCACGGCCCTCGGGCGCCTGGGGCATGCGCCGCCCCCAGGCACCTGCCAGCCCTTCGCAGCGCCCGCCACCCAAAAAGGTTGGGGACCACTGGTTTAGAGAAAGTCATTGGGACTCTGCTATGGATCTCCATCTCAGACTGAGGATGGTAGAGAAGGAACTAACTTAGTTTGGTTACGTGCATGCTAGAGGAAGTGCCGACCATGCCACAAGATGATCACTGCACATGAGCAACTTAGACAGATGCTGCTAATGGAAATCTTTGATTAACAGTGTCAGGATGCACCAAAACCTCACTGGCACCATCCACAGGGACATTATTTGAAGAAGTAATAGATAATACTTTTGGGGGTGAGAGGGGAGTATAACTTACCACAGTTCAGATAGCACAGCAGGAGTTTACCAAAACACAATCTGCTTTCATTACAGCTCCTCCTGTGATCAGTGGAAGTCTGAGGGAAATCAGTTACAAAAGAAAGCTCTTGCCTAGGCAACCAGGGTAATAGTGACAAGTATGCAAATTAACCGAAGAGAGGGAGTGCTGACTGGCTAGTTATCTCTGATGTCACAATGTTACTGCTCAGGGAGGCAGCAGCAAGTGTGCATACTCTGGTGGGTGGGGGAGACACCCTGGCTTTTCCAGTGTTCTGATTTTCTTAAATTGTATGGGAAAACCACATACAGACAATAAATATATATGGGAGATCATTCACCACAGACATTAGTGGCTGAAATTTGATTCAAATTACCCAGGACACAGATGCAAAAAAGGGTTAATAAAAAGTGAGCCAACTGAGATACAGATCCTGTAAAACAGAAAATTCTGACCTTACCTATGGTACCACTATTGCAAGACTATAATAAAAGTTTTTATCACCCAATTCCAGCTAGGCTAACAGGCACCAGGCAATCGAGTTAGTGAAGGGGTCAGTCCAAATTAGAATTCAAGATCCTTCTAAGTTGTATTCCTTTGTTCCAGTCATTGTACTTCATGGCCTACCTGTCCATTTAAATTCTCTCTTTCTACTCATCTCTTAACTGCTCTTGCTTTATTTTCACTTTTGAGCTGTGTCTACATTGGTGCGATCTTGCACAAGAACTTGCTGCCTATCTACACTGGCCTCAAGTTCTTGCGTAAGTACACTGATGTTCTAATGTATGAAATCAGTGCTTCTTGCACAAGAACTCTGATGCTCCCGCTCGGGAATAAACCCTCTTGCACAACTGTTCTTGCACAAGAGACCAGTGTAGACAGGCAACATTAATTTATTGCACAAGAAAGCCCTATGGTTAAAATGGCCATCAGAGCTTTCATGCGGAAGAGAGCATCTACACTGACATGGATGCTCTTGAGCAAAAGCACATATCTTGCGCAAGCACATGCCAGTGTA